GCCACGGGCCTTGGCCACTTCGGCTACGGCCGCGGCCCTGTACTGCTGGACAACGTGGGCTGTGTGGGTACCGAGGCCCGCCTGAGCGACTGCTTCCACCTGGGCTGGGGCCAGCACAACTGCGGCCACCACGAAGACGCTGGCGCATTATGTACAGGTGAGGACGCACTGAAGACCCGTTCTGTGGCGTGGGGCGGGGCGACATTTACGTCATCACGCACAGCGGGCGAGGGCGTAGGCGGGGCCTGCCTGGGTACGCAGTATGCGGGGGCGGAGTAGCATCCGAGGAGGAGGCGGGGCCGCACGTAGTTTGTACTGTGGCACTGCCTCGAGAGCTGTCCGCAGGGCAGGGATGAGTAGCCCCGCCGTTGAAAGCTCTGCGACTGCGCGGCATTGGGGCGGGACCGGAAGGGAGCGCCCTCTGCAATTCGAGCCTGTGGAAGGCGGGGCCTCTTGCTACCTGCTGAGTCAAAAACCAGCGGAGCTCTAGCTGGAGGGTTAATCCGCCTTTGCTGTGCTAACCTGTTACCTGTGAGAGAAGTCGATTCAATGAGTGTGTTTGTTCATTGATTGCTACTGGAATTGCTCTTTCCACCCTCATCTGCTGCCCAGCCCTAGTGGGCCCTCTACCCTCCTGAAAGAATTGGCCACAATGAGCTAGGCCACAGGGCTTTTGTCCTGGGTTCTTGAGTCAAATTAGCACAACTTTTTCTTTATTTTATTTTGTACTACCGTGGTTTGAACCTAGGGCCTTTGCACTAAGCTACAGTCTTGGCCCTGTTTTCATTTTCATTTTGTTTTGTTTTGGTTTTTTGGTTTTTTGAGACAGGGTCTCACTGTATAGTTAAGACTGATCTGGAACTCACTATGTAGCCCAGGCTGGTCACGAACTCACATCGATCCTCCTGCCTCAGCCTCCCTAGTGCTGGAATTACAGGCGTGGGTCACCATGCCTGGTTTAATGTTTTATTTTGAGAGAGTGTCTTGCTAAGTCCTAAATTGCTTAGGCAGGGCTCAAATTTGGGATCCTCTTGGCTCAGCCAATCCCAGTGTGCTGGGATTGCAGATGTGCGCCACCAAGTCCAACACAAGCTCCATTTTCTATCTAAGGAACAGGGAGCCATTCTTCAGGAACCTCTGAAATCCTTTCTGTCTGTCCCTAGAAATGCTTCCCTGGGGAGGGAAGGAGGTGACTTGGCCCTAAGGAGCATGTTCCCCAGTGTGACAGGAATCTCTTTTTTTCTCTTTCTTTCCTGAGCAAGGCCCAGAGGAGCTGGGATCGCAAGCCCAACAGGATGGTTCTGAGACCACCCAGGTGCCCACTCCTCGGCCCAGGGATGGTAGGTGCTCATAGCTGTCTGAAAGTGAGGTGGAGACACCAGGATGGGACAGCTGGATTGAGGGAGGTCAAAGCCTGGGATACAGCAACTTGGCAGATTTGCATCAGGTCCTAGAACCTTGTCCTTCATGCTGGTTTCAGGCCTCATTAATAGGAGTAGTCCAGAAAGAAGAAGCTAAATTTTAAAGTAGGGCAATCTAGAAACTTCTAGAGTTGGGATCAAAATTAGGGCATTGGGAGCCTGTCTTGAGGGAAGCAATGAAAGAATTCAGAATTTAGCTCAGGGAATCAAGGGAGTGAGGGGGAGACTATGGTGACCTTAGGAGGACATGATAGAACATAATCAGTCTCCAAAGAACTGGCCTAGGGCTGAGGTACTGGGATTACATGCAAGCACTAGGGGAGAGCAGAATGAAGCACCCAGTGCAGCACCACTCAGCACTTTTGCGTGTTCTCTTCCAGCCCAGAGTTTCTGGGTCTGAACTGCTGCCCATCCTTATTTATTTGGTATTTTGAGACAGGGTCTCTCGATGAAGTTCGGGCTAGCGTTGAATTCTCTGCGTAGCCCAGGGTGGCCTCGAACTTTTTGGTACTGGGATTGAACTCAGGTCCTTGTGCTTGCAAGGCAGGTGGCGGAACCTCTGAGCTAAATCCCCAGCCCCCTGCTCATTCTAATTTAATCTCCATCTGAACTCATGGAGGCCTCCAAGGCAGTGCTGTGTCTCCCAGTGCTACTCTTCACCTCCTCTGTCCTAGCAGGGGGCACGGCCTGACATAAGGAGCCCTTTCTAAACCTAGGCTTGCCCCACCCCGACCCAGGGCACCTGCGTCTGGCCAGTGGAACTCACCGCTGCGAGGGCCGTGTGGAGCTCTTCCTAGGGCAGCGGTGGGGCACCATTTGTGATGATGCCTGGGACCTGCGAGCAGCTGGTGTCCTGTGTCGCCAGCTGGGCTGTGGCGAGGCCCTGGCAGCCCCTGGCGAGGCGCACTTTGGCCCAGGCCGAGGCCCCATCCTCCTGGATAATGTCAAGTGCCGAGGGGATGAGAGCACCCTGCTGCTCTGCTCCCACATCCGTTGGGACGCCCACAACTGTGACCACAGCGAGGATGCCAGCGTCCTGTGCCAGCTGTCATGACCCAGCTGGCTCTGCAGACCACCTCTTCTTCGGGCAGCCTCCTCCTCCTCCAGGAAGGCCTTTTCCTGTGACTTTTTCAGTTCAAGCAGCCCCACCTTCCCAGGGCCTGGGAGAGAGGCTGCCCAGGCAGGGTAGACCTGTACCCATCAACTTTATTATGTGACCTCAGCCTTTCATCAGCTATTGTGGGTCCCACACAATCAATGCATCCATGCAGCCAAGACAGAAAATAGAGGAGGGGGATGACCCTTAACTCTTCTCTTCCTGAGGTCTTCTATTCCAGTAGTCCTGACCCTGCCTACCTGGATCTGATCTGGGCAGCTCAGCGGCTCTCTGTAAATGGAGGTTCTCCTTTTCCCCTCACCTATCTTGGGAGCCACAAGAAGAGATAGGCAAGGAGGGTCATGCAGCCCTTTCCTTAGACTCTTAGGGGCTGTGGAAGAACCTGGGTCGTTGCCTTGTCCTGTGCCATGAGGGCCTGGATTCAGATGGTGCTCGGCTGAACAAGGGGGCTAGAGGGGCCAAAGCAGGGACTGTGGTCCCTCTCTACAGCTGGAACCAGCATCTGACTTCTGCGCCCCCACCACAGAGCCTCCACTTTGCAATGGCAAAGAAACTTGGAGTCTGTAGCCACCCGTTCATAGGTGCCAAGTCAATAAAGCATTGTCCCTGTCTTTTAACTGAGCTGTTTCAGCAGCAGCGCATTACTTGTAGCAGGACTCCGGAGGAAACCAGTGTGGAGATGGAGGGCAGCTGCCCAAGAGCGTCCTCCCAGAGCTCTCGCAGGCCCGTCACATCCCGGAAACGCTGACTCACTGTGGCAGGCCGCCAGGGCTCCAGAGGATCCCCTGGACCAGCTCCTCTCCTCTCGTCTTTTCCATATACAGACACTGAGATCCAGCAAAAGGAAGGGGTTTGTTCAAGGTCACCTGGCAAGGTACTGGAGTCACTGGAAGAGACAAAATTCTTGAGGACGCAGGAAGGGAGATGGGGGGAGAGGCAGACCATGCCAGAGCTGCTCTCCTGGCCCCAGGCTGTGTGACTTGCAGATGTTGCCTGCCCTGCCAGTTGTCAAGCCATCAAGCCCCTGCCCTTCAGGTCCAGCCTGCAGGCTGTTGTTGCTATAACAAATGACCACAAATTAAGTATCTTAGATCAACACAAATTTACTGCCTTAAAATTCTCGAAAAACTGGGCATGGTGGCGCACACCTGTAATACCAGCACTCCCAGCACTCGGGAGGCTGAGGCAGGAGGATCGCTGAGTTCGAGACCAGCCTGGGCTACATAGTGAGTTCCAGGTCAGTCTCAACTACATAATGAGACCCTGTCTCAAACAAACAAACAAACAAACAAACAAAAATTCTCATTTCACATGGGTCTCCCTGGGCTGAATTCAAGGTGTTGGCAGTTGGTGGCTTTTCTGGATGCTTGAGAGGAGAATCTACTTCCTGTTTCCCACTTGTAGAAGCTACCTTTATTCTAATTTATGACCTCTTGCCAGGAATTGCATCTCTCTTACCTCTGCTTCCAGCAATTTACCTCTTCTTTGATTCTGTCTCCTTCTTCCTCGTTTTTTCCTGAGGCGCTGGGAATTAAACCCAGGGTTTTTGCTCGGAGCCACATACCTCCCAAGCCTCTTTTAAATTTAATTAATTTTGAGACAGGGTCTTGCTAAATTACCAGGGTCAGATTCAAACTTGCAGTCCTCCTGCTTCAGCCTCCCAGAGGGCTGGGATTACCGGCATGGCCACCAGGCCCAGTTAATCTTAGCAGGATAATCCAGGATCACCTCCCTTTTCAAGGTTCTTCATTTAATCCTATCTGCAAACATCCCTTTAACCATATAAAGTAACTTGTTCATGGTCCCCCAGGATTGAGATATGGACATTGTGGGGCCATTATTTGTCCTTTCACCAGCTCAGCCAAAGAGTGAGGTAGACACTTTGGCATCAAATTCCACCTCCTGACAGGAATGGCTTTGTCTCCATTCACGGTGGAGCTCTCTGAGACCCACCATCTCACTGAGGGACAGGGACTAGAGGGATGTAAGATGGGAAAATGCCTCTGTCCCCATCTAAGCAAGGTCCTTTTGCCAACATTCGTGATCCTCGCAGCAGCCCTGTGGAGGAAGTACTGTATTACTGTCCCATTTAACAGACTGGGAAAGCTGAGGCTGAGGGAAGAGAAATGATTTGTCTAAATTTGCATGGTGGAGCCAAAAATAGAGTGGATCCAGGTGCTCTTCTTAAAATTTGTTTGTTTTGTGGTACCGAGGATTGAATCTAGTGCCTTTTGTACTGACCTGCATCCCCATCCTTTTTCAATTATTTATTTTGAAACAAGGTCTTACTAAATTGCTGAATTTCCCTGGCTGGCCTCAAATTTGTGCTCCCCCTGCCTCAGCCTCCTAGAGTGCTGGGATCACAGGTACGGACCACCACACCTAGCTCTGAGCCCAGTCTAGACAACGTAGCAATTTAGTGAGACCCTGTTTCAAAAAAAATGGACTGGGGAGGTAGCTCAGTGCAAAGGCCAATCTCCAGTACTGCAAACAACAAAAAGCTGGGCATGGGGGCACACGCCTGCAATCCCAGCATTTGGAAGGCTGAGGGAGGAGGATCCCCAAGAGTTCCAGGCCTACCTGAGCTACATAGTGAGTTCAAGGGCAGCCTGAACTATATAGTGAGACCCTGTTTCAAAAAAACCAAAAAACCAAATTAAAAAAACCAGGGCTTTTGCCAATGAGAAACTTGCCAATGAGAATCTCATGTTGACTTTGAGTGACCTACTCTCCTGAAACTCAGCCTGCCCAAGCATAACTTTGTCACCCACACCTAAATCTGAGTTCCCCTGGTAAGTAGTACTACCAAACCGCTAGCCATCACTAATTCGCATCTCAACGACTAATTTAATCATGAGGTCCTCTTCCTTCTCAGCCCTGCTGGAATCTGTCCCTTCTCTCCATCCCCACGTTTCTTACCAGGGCCACCTCATTCTTCATTATTTCCCGGGCTCTGACCCACTCCTCATACACAAAAACTGAGCTTGCTCCCAATTACAAATGCAATGGTGCTGCTCCCCTGCTCCAGCCCCTTGCATGGCTCCCCAATGCTTAGCTTGGTTCCCAAAGATCCCGCACAGTCCAGCTCTGTTGTGTTCTCAGCATCATCCCTTTGCCTCTTGCTGCCAAAATTTAGCCAGGCCAAACTACTTCCAATTCCTCTAATGCCTGGAATCTCTTCCCACAGAGGGGCCTCTGCACACACTGTTCTTTCTGCCTGGAATTCACATCACTCTTTCCTCCTCTTTCCCTTTAACCAACTCTCAGTTCGCCTCCAGTTTCAGCCTTTACTGACAGGCCCATCTGGTCTGGCCCGGAGCCCCCACCCTGCCCAGTGAGCACACTGGCCTTGTATGTCCAGAACACTGCCTGACCTGTATCTCCACTAGCCTGGGGGTGAGGACTAGGGCTGCCCTGCTGGGTCCAGCTCTGTGCCCTGGACCTTACATACAGTGGGTGGCCCAAATAATACTTCTCAAGAGAACGGCAGACCTGCACAAATACTTCTGGAGAACCTGCTAGGTCAAGCATTGTGCTGAGCTCTGAGGCTACGGAACAAAAAGACACCTAAACCTAAGCTAGGTATGGTGGCCAGGTATGGAAGGAGGATCGAAGCAAGTTCAAGGACAGCCTGGGCAACACATGGAGTTAATCTTATCCCCACCCCCCAAATCAGGTTCCTGTTTACATGATTAGGACAAAAATGACCTTCAAGAGAAGAAAATGTGGCTGGTGTTGTGACTTAGTGGTACAGCACTTACATCAAAGGTGTGAGGCCCTGGGTTTCATACCTAGCACCACAGAGAGAAGGATGACAAGCCAATGAATAAATAGACATGTCTGAAGTGAGCTGGGTATGGTGGCTCACACCTGCAATCCCAGCTCTCTGGAAGGCTGAGGCAGGAGAATTGCAAGTTCACGTCCTGTTTGGGCAATTTGGTGAGACGCTGTCTCAGCATAAAAGGGAGGGGATGTAGCTCAGTGTGAAGGCTCTCTTTTTTTTTTTTTTGATACTGGAGATCGAACTTGGGTCCTTGCACTTGTAAGGCAGGTGGCAGAACCGCTGAGCTAAATCCCTAACCAGAAGATTTTTATTTGTTTTGTTTTGTTTTTGGTACCAGGGATCCAACTCAGGTCCTTGTGCTTGCAAGGCAGCCACTGAGCTAAATCCCCGGCCCAAGGCTCTTGAATTCAATCCCTAATACTGGAAGAAAAGAGTCATCTAAAGTAGTGATTAGCGCAACCAAGAAAGTGGGGTGTGGTGCTATGGATGGACAAGGGGGAGGTGAGCTGAGCCTAAGCAGTTGAGAGCTGGTCATGAACTTTTGGCCTATACAAAGGTATGAGGAGGTAGCTAGCTCAGTGGTAGAACAACTGCCTAGTATATGTGAGGCCGTTGGTTCCATCCCCGGTAAAGAAAGAAAGTGGGGGGAGAGAAAAGAAAAGAGAAGGAAGGGGCCAGGGATTTAGCTCAGTGGTTCTGATGCCTGCCTTGCAAGCACAAGGACCCGAGTTTGATCCCCGGTACCAAAAAAGGAAAGAAAGAACGGAAGGAGAGTGAAAGGGAAAAAAAGAAAATCTGCCTGTTGTGGTGATGCACACCTGTACTCTCAGCATTTGGGAGGCTGAGGCAGGAGGATCACTGCAAGTTCAAGGCCATCCTGGGCTACAGAGCAAGACCCTTTCCAAAAGAAAAGAGAGAGGAAAGGGAAAGTAAGAAAGGAAGGAGGGAACTGAGATTGGAACAAAAAGACCATGCTAAGAGATGACACAGAGTGGCTAGTAAGGGCCAGAGCACTCAGGACTTTCTAGGCCAAGAGGAGGAGCTTATTCTAAGGAAGATGAGAATTCACTGGAAAGTGAGACAGGCCTCCTAATGCCAACTAATTAAATATCTCCCATCTTTCATCTTGTCCCTGAGGATTTAATTAAAAGGATCCAGGGCTGGAGGTATAGCTCAGTTCCAGAGGGCTTGTCTAGTGTGCATGTGTTTGATATACACACAAACACAGGCAGGCACAAATCCAGCCAGGTATCTCTCAACAAATCAGGATACGCAGCATCCCTACCACAAATCTCAGAATTTCTCAGGGAGCTTTGATTCTGCTGAAGTCTGCTTCCTGCCTTTTGTTGATTTCTAAATCTCCCACCTGCTTTCATCTCCCCTGACACTCTCCTTTTTTTCTGCTCAAACAGCCATGCCCTTCACTCCCAAAGTACCGCTATTCCAGTCTGTGTGTATAGCACACTTGGCTGAAATGGAGCCAGGACCCAGCAGACAACTGGAAACTGAGAATTAGGTACCCTGTTTTCGAAAGGCCCAAGTGTGTTCACACCATCTCCATCAACCCTCCTGCCCTCACACACACATTCCTAGATCATTTTTCTGGGGCATTCTCTACCCCGTGGCCCACCCTCTCTCCTACAGCCTCCTCCTTTCTTCTTTTGGTTTACAGAGCCTCTGACAAAATGTTACTTTTGTGCATTCCTTTGCTCCCCCTGCTCCAGGTATTATGGATTGAATTTAAGGCCTCACCCAAGTTAGGCCAAGAGCAAAATAAACTTGTGTGTGGTGGTGCACACCTGTGATCTCAGCACTTGGGAGGCTGAGGCCTGAGGATCACAGCGACTTTGAGGCCAGCCTGGACTATATAGTGAGACCCTGTCCTCCAAAAATAAATAAAGAGCAAAATAAAAGATAGTAGGAAGCAACGAGGTAGACCTTTTGCTGATGGGAAGGGGATCTAAGGACAGAAGAGGGGAGAGCTGGGCATTTAGCTCTGGGGTATTGCCGCCTACCTTGCAAGCACAAGGACCTGAGTTCAATCCTGGTACAAAATTTTTTTTTAAAAAAAGGGGAAGGACCAAAGGAGAAGAGGAAGTAAAAAAAGACAAAGGTGTGATATGTGTATATGCACCAACTTCCCATAACGAATGTATTCATTATGTCTGGCAAACGTACTTAAAAATGATTTATTCAGGGCTTGGGATTTAGCTCAGTGGTTCCGCCGCCTGCCTCGCAAGCACAAGGACCTGAGTTCGATCCCTGGCACCAAAAAAAAAAAAAAAAAAAAAGAGGGCTGGGGATTTAGCTCAGTGGTTCTGCCGCCTGCTTTGCAAGCAGAAGGTTAAGGACCTGAGTTCGATCCCCGGTATCAAAGACAAACAAAGAAATGAAGGATAATGTGTTACAATGTGGGTAAATCTTTTTTTTTTTTTTTTTTTTTTTTGATATTAAAGTTATTGGTACCTTTACGTATACATTACAATTACATTCATCACTGGGAATTCATACCTGTGCATGATATATATCGGTTCTTTTTTCTCCATTCCCTTTCCCTCCCAACTCTATTTACAAATGATTTTCCATCTTTTTCTCACCAGTTTTTCCCTTCTTTCCTTTCCCCTCCCCACTTCCCATTCGGACCTTTTTTTTTGGTACCCGAGATCGAACTCAGGACCTTTCCCTAGCGAGGCTGGCAGCGACACTACTGAGCTAAATCCCCAGCTCTGGACCTTTTCTTCTTATTTCACGTTATCTGCTATATATTTTCATCCTCATTTACATATTCAGTTTCTCACACTAGAGAAACTATTCCGTATTTACACGTGTGTCCTATTTAACACTTCATTTCTTTTATAATGAAATATCATTATATGGATTTACCAAAATTACGTTAATCCATTCATCTGTTGATGAAACATTTGGGTTCTTTTTTTTTTTAATACTTGCTAGGATGGAATCGAGGGCCTTACATGCTAGGCAAGCAATCTCTACCCGAGCTACACCCTAGCGCCCACCTTTTGATTACCCTGAATGGTGCTGCTGTGAGCATTCATGTACAATGTGTCTGAGAGCCTTTTCAGTTCTCTTGGGTGTGTACTTGGGAGTGGAGTTGCTGGGTCTTGTGGTAATTGTTTAACCTGCTGGGGGACCACACTAAGTTTGCAGCAGTTTCACTTTTCCTATCAGCAAGGACAAGGGGTTCCAGTTCCCACTTTCTTCACGTTCTCACTCAAATCTGTTCTTTACCCTCCCACACACACACACACACACACTGGGTTTAGAACTCAGGACCTTGTGCTTAGGAGGCAGGCGAGGCGCCACTGAGCTAAATCCCCAGCCCTGATACTTTTCTTTTTTCTTTCTTGTTTGTTTTTTGAGACAGGATCTCGCTGTGTAATTCAGGTTGGCCTTGAACTCTCAGGGCTTCTCCTACCTCAGCCTTGAAGGGTGCTGGGATGACACCGCCATGCCCAGGTGGAAATATTTATTCTTATCTCCTCCGTATAGAAGAGAAACTAAAGGCCAGAAAAGGGTCGAGGAACCTGGATCACACAGAAACATCAAGGATCAGGTCGTAGGGTATCCACCTCAGCCAGCACATCCCCACCCCGGATCTAACAAGACCAGGCGAGCGGAGGGTGGCGTGACTCAGCCCTTCCGGGCGGATCCCGTCGAGCTTTCCTGCTTAGTCAGACCTGCTCGCGGGGCGTCGCCGGGCGGGGCTGAAGACCCCAGAGGAAGTAGGGGACCAACCGCGTGGGAACCTAAGTCACATCTCTGGCTCCACAGCCCCCTCCTGATTGGAAAGCCTGGGCATAACAGCCAATCATAGCAAACTGCAGAGTGCGGGTGGGGCGGGGCCAAGGACGAAGGACACTTCCTCTTCTGCCTTCTAATCCTCCCATCCTGCTGCGCCCCGGGCTTTTAGAAGCTCTGGCTAGGCTAAGGCGTAAAGCGGGAAAGGGAGGGGCAGAGCAGGGCGGTGCTGGCAAGACTGGGCGCTGAGCTTTGGTGCATTCTGCTGGAGGACCGGCAGGAATGGTTGAAGCCTGGTTTGGTGGCGCACGCCTGTTAATCCCAGCACTCGGGAGGTTGAGGCAGGAGGATCGCTGTGAGTTCGTGACCAGCCTGGGCTACATAGTGAGTTCCAGGTCAGTCTCAACTACATAGTGAGGCCCTGTCTCAAAAAAAAAAAAAAAAAAAAAAAAAAAGGGCGTTGAGAGGGGACCCTAAAACTGTGGTGTGTAGATGATCATTTCCGATTTGCATAGCTATTCCCAGTTTACAAAAAGCGATTGACATCCCTGCCCAGGAATGGGTTGCAGTGTTTTCTCTTACATTCAGAGGGTACCTTTAAAATAAGACTTCACTAAAAATCTCAATAAAACCAGAGGTAGAAGAGGAATGCATTGCTGCCGCAGCCATGCACACTAGACTGAGGGTTTGTCTTTTTTTTTAAGTTTATGTTTTTGATTCTGGAGTTGATTCTGGTTTTCACAGTAAGCTACATGCCCAGTCCTCTTATTTATTTATTTATTGGTTCCTGGGATCAAACTCAGACCTTGCGCTTGCCATGAAGGTGGGGTGCCACTGAGCTACATCCCCTGTCCCTGCTCTTTTTATATTTTGAATATTTATTAATTTTAATTTTCACATCCTGGAGGAAAAAACCCAGGGCACTTGCACTGAGCTACCTCCCCAGCTCCCGCCCCCTTTTTAGGTTTTTTGAGACAGGGTCTCACTATGTAGTTGAAACTGACCTGGAACTCACTATGTAGCCCTGGCTGATCTTGAACTCACAGCAATCCTCCTGCCTTAGCCTCCTGAGGGCTGGTGTTACAGGAGTGTGCCACCATGCCCGGCTTCCTCAGCCCTGTTTCTAATTTAAATTTTGCAATAGGGTTTCTCTAAATTCCCCAGCCAATACTGGAACTTTCTATCCTCCGGCCTCACCTTCTAGGGTGCTGGAATGGAATTGCAGACCTACATTACCATGCCTGGCTTTGTTTGTTTGTGCTTGCTTTTTGAGACAAGGTCTTGCTATGTAACCCACGCTTTGTTTGTTTGTGCTTGCTTTTTGAGACAAGGTCTTGCTATGTAACCCACGCTGGATTTGAACTCACTATGTAGCCCAAACTGACTTCGAACTGCAGTAATCCTTCTGCCTTAGCCTGCTGAGTGCTAGGATGGCAGGTGTGGGCTGCAATGCCAGCTTTATTTTTAATTTTTTGAGAAAGGGTCTTGGCTAAGTCCCTAAGTTGCCCAAGCTGTGCTTGAACTTGTGAGCCTCTTCCCTCAGCCTCCCATAGTGCTGAGTTACAGTCTTGGGCCACCATACCCTGCTAGACTGAAAGTTTTAACACAACCGGCTGCAAAGTTACTCCAGCAAAGCTATTATGTGTGGGGTCACACTGAGGGAGGGGCCTGCATGGCCCTCACAGTGTGGCCCTCCAGTCAGACAGACATTATTATTCCTACTAGGCAGAGAGAGAGAAACTGATGCACAGGAATGGACTGACTTCCCCAGGGTCCTCCATCCTGAGCTCACGGTTGACTTGGACCTGGGTGTGCCGGATCTCCTGAGCTTCTCCTGCCATGGCAGTCTGGTACCCACAATTTAGGTTACTTCAGGCTCAGAGAGCCCCTGCATCACTACCAGGCAGAAGAAGAAGCAAGGAACACGGAGGGGCACCTGCTCATGGCCTCTGATTTTAGCTCCTATCTCAGGATTCCCCACATCTGGAGAGGAGCTTTACAGACTCCAGCTTGTCACAGGATTTTGCACCCAAAATCTTGTTTGATCCACCTGGCTCCAGAGGTAAGTGAAAATTATTATACTCAGTTGAAACCGAGACTCAAAACTAGTATGCATCCTTTGAGCTGCTGAGGTTCGAAGACATAACTAATAGATATCCACTGAACTCTGATCAACTGCTACTGCCTTGGGCTCTGTAGGATGCAAAAATAAGCAGGACATGCCCCCCTCGCCGGTGACAGAGCAATGATCCCCAGTAGGTTTGGTACCAGGGACCAGGTTAATGGTAGATAATTTTTCCAGAGTACAGGTAGGGGCATGGTTTCAAGATGATTCAAAGGAGCACGCAACTTAGATCCTTTGCCTGTGCAGGTCATGTTAGGGTCCACATATCTATGAGAATCTAATGCTAATGCTGATCTGGTGGGACACACAGATGAAGCTTCCTAACTTGCCAGCTGCTCTCCCAGTGCGGCCCATTCCCAACAGGCTGAGGACTAATAACACCTGCCCCTCTGTGGCCCAGGGTTGGGGTCTACAGGGATTCAGTGTATATACATTCCTAGCCCTTGTATAAGACCCCAGCGTGTGGGGCTTGGAGAAGAAATGTTGTGGGTCTCAGGCAGGAGCAAAGGTCATTCCTAGCAATTCTGGGAAGCCTTGTGGAGAAGAGAGCATTTAAGCCAAGGTTGAGGGCTACGGATTTGAATAGGTGGGGATGGAGCCATGGACAAATTCAATGCTCTTACTCAGCATCCGGGGTTTCCCTCTTACGTCTCACCTACCAGCTTTTATGCTTCTGGTGGACACCTAGGGATTTTTTTGGGGGGGTACTGGGGATTGAACTTGGGTCTTTGCTATGCTTGTGAGGCAGGCGGTGGCACCACTGAGCTAAATCCCCAGCCCAGGATTATTTTTCAATAGTAGGGATCAAGTTCAGGGTGTCATGTTAAACAAGTACTCTGCCACTGAGCTACATTAACAGGCTGACATTTGAATGAACAAGTGGGCAAATGAATGGAGCAGAGACAGGGTAAGGGTGCGTTATGGATGATCAAGAGTGTTGCCTTACAACCATCAGGTTGGGGCCCTGAATGATTAGGACATAGCAATGAAATATATATATATTTTTCCTCCTTGCTATAGGACTTAGCACCACCAGAAGAGTTCAGCTTTTATCCAGGTGTGGTGGCACATACCTGTAATCCCGGCAGTCTAGGAGGCTGAAGCAGGAGGATAGCAAGTTTGAGCCCAGCCTGCGCAACTTAGTTATTTAGCAAGAACCTGTCCCAAGTTTGATCCCCTATACCAAAAAAAAAGCAAGAACCTGTCATAATAAAATGGGGATAGGAAGGCCAGGGATTTAGCTCAGTGGCACTGTGCCTGCCCTGCAAATGCAGGGGTAGGGGCTCAGTTCTGGGCTTCAAGGACGCAGAGAGATGATAAATCTTTATATAAATCATACAACCTTGACATCTGTGGTGGTGCATGCCTGTAATCCCAGCACTCAGGAGGCTGAGGCAGGAGGATCACTGTGAGTTCAAGGCCATCCTTTGCTACATAGTGAGTTAAAGGCCAGCCTGAACTACATAGGGAGACCCTGTCTCAAAAAATGAAAAGTAGGGCCCCACCTGCCTAGTAAGAGCAAGGTCCTGAGTATGGTCCCCAGTATTAAAAAAAAAAAAAAAAAAAAAAAAAAAAAAAAAAAACTAAAATCCTACAGCCCTGGAACCTGGAATCACAATTTATTCTCACTAGTCGCCACCTTCAGCCCCAGATTCCTGGCCAAATTTCTGGAATCAAATATTGCTACAGGGATGGGGATGTAGCTCAGTGCCTGGCAAGCACAAAGTCCTGAGTTCAATCCCTGGTACCACCCAACACCCCACCAAAAACAAAAAACCCCCAAATATTGCTGCATACAAGAGGCATTTGTTACCACCAAGAGTCCCCACCTCGTTTGGCATTGGGGGCAGAACACAAGGGTACATCCTTAGCCCTTTTTATTTTTACACTTATTTATTCTTATTTTTATCTTTAGACAGGGTCTTGCAAAGTTGACTAGGCTGGTTTCAAATGAGATCCTTCTGTGTCGACCCACTGAGTAGCTGGGATTGCAGGTGTGAACCACTGTGCCTGCCTACCTCCAAGCTCTCTTTGGATCTAAAGAATACCTTTATGTCTGGGCATGGCTTGCTCCGTGTGTCTGTGAGGCAGGTGAAGAGAGGTCAGGAACCACCGAGGATGGTGATGACTATTCCTATTTTGCAGGTCAGTGTCTGTCAAATCTCACAGCTGGGTAGGGGCAGAACTGGGGTCCATGCCATCACAGCAGCCCTTTCCATGACCTCAGAATGCCCTTGAGGAAGCCTCAGGGGCCACCTCAGCCTGTCTGGGGTAGAAACAGTCAGTGGGTTGGGCTTTCTGTGGCAGATTGTGCCCAGGGAGGGGCAGCTGGTCACCTGGCCTGGTGGCCTCTACCTCCCTGAATCAGACATCCATCTTGGCCTGATTGGGTCCAGCCCAGTGGCTTCCAGGGCAGCTCTTGGGCATCTGGCCAGCCTGCTCAGCACCTTCTCTCCCTGTCTCAAGCAATCTGTCTTTTTGTCTGTCCCTCTCTTGGATCTCCCCCCCCCGCTTCTTCGCCCTGTCTCCACCACTTTGTGTCTATTTCTCTCATTACTTTTTTATCATCATCATCTTTTTTTTTTTTTTTTTTTTTGTCTGCCTCTCGGTCTCCTGCCTGAACTTCTGCTGTTCCGAGAGTAACTTCTGCTGTTCGGCCCCTCCAGAATCGTTGTTCACTCCCTCCTGGTGCCTGTCTTCAGCCTTTGCATGAGCCAGTGGACCCCCCTCCAAAAAAAAAATCACAAAGGAGAGGAGCACCACAGCCAGCTGCAGTCTGGTCATGCCTTTGGGTTGCTCTTGCCTCATCATCAAGCCCCAGAGCTCTGAATTTCCCCCTCCTTATAGAGGTGGAAAGTGCTGTGCAGAGATCCACAATGGAGCAGGATTCAAGGATGGCAGGCCCACCCTCCAAGGCAGAACTGAAAGGTTCAAAAGCCACCCACTGCTCCCTGATTAACCCCTTCCTAGGTGCTCAGATCTTGCAGCTCTGTGGCCCATCCTTTGCCCAAAAAGCCCAGTCCTGGGTGGCATTCCTGAGACCTTTGTTCCCTTTTTGCAGTTCTCTTCTTTTCCCAGCTTCACACTGGGGGTTTCCACCTTCAAGCCACAGGACAGCACATACTCCATCTCAGCCTCTCAGGGAACCCTCACAGCTGGCCCTAGTCCTGAGCTCCCCAGGGGGTTTCCGTGGGCCTTGGGGGACTTCCCAGAACCATGACACCCACTCCTCTGGCCCTCTGGCACTCCTATTCAGTGTTCCTCAGGCCTTCAGCCCCTGACCTCTTTCTTTCCTTCCTTTCTTCCTTCCCTGCCCCGCCTGGTGTTCCGCCAACTCCTGCATTCAGTCCTTTGATCTATGGGGCATCCCCTCCCCCATCCCTTGGCCATATCTGACTCCTGTCTGCTCTGGATGGTTTGACCTTGACCTTTTCAGCTCCCAGCCCACATTTCCTGTGCTGCTGGAGAAAACCTCAGGGGTGGCAGAAGGGGCCCCTCTGGGTGCCGCTGGTCCCTGAGTGGCCATGCCCTCCTCAGCTCGCTCCCCACCATCTCTGATGCTCCTGCAAGCTGCCAGCCTGGTCCCTAGCCTCCTCCCCTGCTCCTGCAGTGACTCAGCAATTGATCCACCTTCTACTTCTCCAGCAAGCAGGCTCCCAGCAACTTCCCTGCTGTCCACTCAGAAGTCCATCCCTCTGAACTTCCAGCTCAGGAACCCTGCTCAGGGTTCCTCCTCCTCCCCAACATCCAACCACTGCAGGCTCCTGAATTGAAAGCATCCCAGGCCTCCTCCAGCCTACGGAAACCACCAGCAGCATCAGCTCCTCCCTCCGTCTGACCATTAAAGCACGTGGAAAGGGCCGGGGATTTAGCTCAGCAGTTTGGTGGTACCAAGTTCAAGCTCTGGTACAAAAAAAAAAAAAAAAAAAAAAAAAAAATGTAAAAAAAAAAAAAAAAAAAAGCACGTGGAAAGCAGTCATCTCCAAATCTTAAATCTTCACTTCTCTCCCACTGACACCTTGGACCATTTTAATTGGCCTCAACCAGACTTGAACGTGCCAAGGTCACAAAGATGCCCTGAGTCATGAAAAGACCTTCTCTTCTATCCTTATATGACTTTTCTGGGTCTACTTAGTGGCAGAGTGGAGCACCAGGGGCCATGTCCTTGTGTGGTCCCTGGGACACATGGATCCCTGGTCTTCCCAGGGCCTCCTGCAGGGCTCTTTGTGACTTGTCTTCACTGGCCTGTCCTCATTCCTTTCCCATTCTTATTTAATCTTCTGGGGCCCAAGGTGTCACCTTCCACCTAGAACTGAAATCTCCCTCTGCAACCCCACCCCGTGGGTCATGCCTGGACACCCTTTCACACATACACTTCCCAAATGGAGCCCATTGGTTGTTCCCTTAAATGTGCCCCCTCTCAGAGAAGGGGACCATCCCATCTACCCACTTTCCTAGAAGTCAGGCTTGATATCTCCTACCTCTCAGGGCCACCACTGCTGCCCTATCCCAACCCCACCGTCTCCCCCAAAGACTATTGAGGAGCCTCCCTCTATCTTGCTGCCAGAGTAAAGTGAGGCTTTTTTTTTTTAAAGATAGTCTCTTACTATGTAGTTCAGGCTGTCCTTGAACTCATGGCAATCCTCCTGCCTCAGACTCCTGAGTGCTGGAATTATAAGCATGTGCCACCATGCCCAGCTCTTTTCTTCTCTTTTTTTTTTTTTTAAACTGGAGATATTGATATGTAGTTTGCAATTAACTACATCCCCACCCTCACTTTTTCTTTTCTTTTTTTTTTTTTTTTTCAATTTTCAGATAGAGTCTCACTAAGTGACTAAGTTGCCCAGGCTAGGCTTGAACTTGTGACCCTCCTGCCTCAGCCTTCCCAGAGTGCTGGTGTTACAAGTGTGTACCACCACACCTTGGCCAGAGTGACTGTTGGAAAACACAAATGTGATCCCACCTCTCCTTTGCTGAAACTCCCTCCTGGCTGAAGAATCTGAAGGACTAGCCGTTGGTCCACCTTCAGGCTCCCACCCTTGTTGCCTCTGGGGACCTTTCTATTTATCTTCTCCTCCCCACCTTCAAAGCCAAGGAAATCCCTACAATGTCACTAATAGCCAGGAAGCTCCTGAATGTCCCTGAGCATTTCTGACCTACACAGCTGACTCCTGCCTGGAGTTCAGGGGATCTGGGAAAAGGCAAGAACATGTAAAGGTTTTAGTAGGAACCCAAGTGGCTGGTTTTGAACTCCTGGATCACTAGCTCTTCATTCTGCAAAGGGACAGAACCAGACAACTCATTTGCTTAAGGTTATTCGGGAAGTCATTGGAGGAGCCAGGTCCCCAGTGCCCTGCTGTTCCCACTCCTGAATCCAGCATGGTTGCAGCCCTGGGCACACTGTTCTCTCGCTAGCTTCTCAGTAGACCTGAGTTCTGACTCACTGCCCCCAACGCGCACGTGTGCGCACACACACACACACACACACACACACGCACACACTTGAGGCCATGCCCTGGCATCACTTCTCTGTCTCCTCCGGCCCCATCCACCCTCCTTTATATCCTCCCATAGGGAGTGTTAGGAACATCTTAGCTATGGCCAGTATGTTGATGCAGGCCTCTAATCCCAGCTCTCTGGGAAGATGAGGCAGGAGGACTACAAATCCAGCCCCGCCTGGGCAATTTAGTGACTGAGAGAAACCCTAAAAATAAAAATAAACCTGGGGATTTAGCTCAGTGGTGCTGCCACCAGCCTCACAAGTGCAAGGCTCCGAGTTTGATTCCTGGTACCCCCCCAAAAAAATAATAAGGGCTTCTGGGACTGGGGATGTGGCTTGGTGGTAGAATGCCTGCCTAGCATGCACAAAGCCCTGAGTTCAATCCCCAGTATGACAAAAAAACAAAAAGGCTTGGGATGTAGCTCAGTGTGAAGGGTGGGGGTTTAACCCCCAGCACCATGAACTAACAAACGAACCCAGCTGTGTGCAGGGAGTAAGGGCTGCAGCACTGCTTCTGAAAAAGGCCAACAAACAAGAAAGTCCATCCATCCAGGTGGTGCTTCTAGGTGAGATGAGGAGCAGGGGACATGAGAACCTGGTTTGTGACCCCACTTCCTGGCTGTGGGACCCGGACAAGTTATCTAACCTTCATAGGTCTCAGAGACTCCTCACTTGTACCGTGGCTTCCTGTTTTTATTTGAATGTGTCCCCCAGTGTTCAAGTGTTAGAATTTTTTTATTTTTTTTTTTTTTTTTTTTTTTTGTACCAGGGATCAAATTCAGGTTCCTGCACTTGTGAGGCAGGCGTCGGAACCACTGAGCTAAATCCCCGGCCCCTAAGTGTTAGAAACTTAATCCCCCAATTTATATATATATGTATATGTATTTTGGTTTGCTTTGGTTTGTTTTTTTTGAGTTTTTTTTTGTTGTTTTTTTTGTGGGGGGTACCAGGGATCGTACTCAGGTCCTTGAGCTTGCGAAGCAGGTGGCAGAACCACTGAGCCAAATCCCTGGCCCTTGTTTGTTTGTTTTTTGAAACAGGGTCTTACTTTATAGTTCAGGCTGGCCCTGAACTCATTATGTAGCTGAGACTGGCCTCAAACTCTCTGCAATCCTCCTGCCTCTGCCTCTGCCTCCCGAGTGCTGGGATTATAGGCCTGAGCCACCACGCCTGGCTCTCTATGTATATTTTGATGGTGCTTGTTGGTAAGGCCTTGCTACTAAGATCGATGTCACGAAGGTAGGATCCCCTTGATGGGATTAGTGCTTTTATAAGAAGAATAGAAACCTGAGCTATTGTACTTGTTCTGTCTCACCATGTGATGCTCTCTGCCATGTTATCCTGTAGCAAGAAGTCCCTGCCAGATGCCAGGCAAGATGTTGGTGCCACACTCTTGGACTGCCTAGCCTCTAGAATTAGAAACCAAATAAACTATTTATTTATTGGCACTGAGGATTGAACCCAGGGCCTTTTCACTGAGCTACATCCCTAGCCCTTTATTATTTTTTTAAATTTTGAGATAGAATCTCAAGAAATTGCCCTGTTTGGGTTCAAACATGTGATCTGCCTGCCTCAGCCTCCCAGAGAGCTGCAAATATAGGTTATGTGCCACCATGCCTGTTTATTTTTGCAGTGCTATGCATTGAATCCAGGGATTCAATTCTGCAGTGCAAAAAAGGAAGAGCTTCCCACATGCGAACCTCATTAAGAAGAAGGGTTTCCTCTGTCCTGCAACACCAGAAGATAGACTGATGAATCATGGGCAGAGACTCTGGGAATGTGAGTGTTGTCCCACAGTACAAAGGGAACCTCAGAAAATGGCAAATCACCATGGCAGGAGGTGGCGTAGAGGAGACTGGATGATGCGTATGGGATTCCCATCCAGATGAGCAAGGGTCCCTCTACAGCCCCTTCTACTTGTCCAACCCCAAACTCCAGGACAGGGAAGGGACCCAGCTGGTCCAGAAATTTAGAAGACAAGACAGGCTCCATGGCCCTGAGTCATCTTGACTCACACAAGGCTGGGGTAGAGTGGGTGCCTTTTGTCCCTGCTGGTCTGCAGGCTCAGAGCAAGGAGCTGGCACTGGGTGTCTGCGCCTGCCTTTTGCCCCTGGTACAGCCTGGGCTCCCGTCTGCCTGCTGTGTCAGCACCAGCGTTCCTATTTCATGACCAAGTGGGATTTGTACTCCCCAAGCATTAGTGCTGGGCTGACTCGGCAGAATGGCCAATGCCAGAAAATACCAGCTTCTCTGCCCCTTGCAGCCAGCTTCCGGAAGGCCCCACGGCCACTTCACTTCCTTTTCAGCCAACTCAGCCTGACCACCTTCAAGAGTTGCTGGGCCTTTCGAGGTCCTCTGGGCAGACCAGAGAAAGACCCCACAACCCAGAATTTTGAAAATGTGCAGATTCTCAGAGCCACCCACGGAGATTGTGATTTAGTGTCTAGTTTGGCCCTGGGACAAGATCCCCCATGTACTGAGGGGATGAGACATCCAGCCAGGTTGAGGTCTCTCTCCTAGTGGCCGCTCAGCATCACCTCTGAGTGGGGGTCTTCTGGCCCTGCCTGTTCACAGATCCCTATCCCATGACTTCTAAACCATTAGTGAACAGCTCTGCCTGTTGGAAAAATTGCTTCCCTGAATTGGGCAGAAATTGGTGGACTCTGCAGCTTAAAGTTCTGTAAACACACAAAATACCAGATTCGCTCCATGGGATCATTAGGTTGCCACCATCCCCAGCACTGTGGCTCTCCCATGAATCCTTTGCCCTCTGTTCAAATTTTGAGTATCAAAACATTCACTTACAGGCCAGGCATGATGTCACATGCTTGTAGTCTTAGCACTTGGGAGACAAAGGCAGGAAGATCACTGTGAGTTTGAGGCCAGCCTGGGCAACATAGTGAGTTCAATGGCAGCCTGAACTACATAGCTAGGCCCTGGCAGAAAAACAAAAAAACAACAAACAACATTATTATTATTATTTTTTAAAATTATTATAATTAGTAGTAGTAGTAATATTTTTGGTACTGAGGATCCAACTCAAGACCTTGTGCTTGCAAGGCTGGCGTGGTGCCACTGAGCTACATCCCGGCCCACAACAAAATACTTTTTAAAAAAGGGTTAGGGATGTAGGTCAGTGGTATAGTGCCCCTGATTTAGATCCCAGTGCTGCAAAATAATAAATAAGTAAATAATTAAAATAAAAATACTGCCCTTCTATTCCTGGTCCAATTCAGAGGGCAGAGTGTAGACTTCTCTTTACAAAGCCTAGCTAGGTAAAGCACTTGTCCCAAGTTCATGCAGCTGGGTTTGGGGGAAGGATGCTAGCTCAGGCTCCCCTGTATCTCGAGCATGTGTGGTTTGT